GGTCCTCTCAGCAGTCACACGCTCCGTCCCCGTGTCCACCGCGCTCACCCTCACAATGCTCAATGCACATTTCCGGCCCACTTCGGACTTACACATCCCCCCTCCAGAGTGGTACTGTCCGAGGAAATGTAATGTGAGTGACACATGGAATCGTACAAATTTTCTAGGGGCCGTTCTTCTGAGAGTTAAAAAGGAACGGTGATACAAAAATATATTTTACTTAACCCAAGTATTATCATTTCAAAATGCAGTGAACATAGAAGTCGCATTTCTAATGCTAACTCCCAGAAGCCCATGCCGCGCGTCCCAGCTGGAGTTCAGCCCGGAGCAGCCCGGGCGCAGGTCTGCGCGCCGCCCCAGGAGGTGGTGTGGGGCGTGCGCAGGGCCCCTCCGCCCGCTCGCAGGCCGTGACAGCGGACCCGCCACTGCCACTACTTCCCTGCACGTTTGGGAACCGCAGGACGCTCCGGCCTCCTGGTTTCCCAGCGACCCCGCCCCCTCCCTCAGGCCCAGCCTCCTCTCCTCTCTGCAGCGCCCGCCCCTCTCCCTGGGGCACAACCTCTGAACCTCCTCTAGTGGGTCTGTTACAAACGTCCTCGGCGGGGGCGGGGGCGGGGGAGGGCAAGTGGCATCTGAAAACGCCACTACTTTGCTCTTCCCCTGCAGGGCAACTTGGCTGACTCCCTGGTGACAGGCGGAGGGCTTTTCTCGCTCGCGCTGCGCAGACGCCGCCCTCTCCGCCGTCGCCGGATGGTCCGTCCGTGTCGCCGCGGCAGCGCTCCGCCGTTCCGGGTCCCTCTCCCGCGGAGGGAGCCCGTCCTCCTCCGGCCGAGTCGGAGATCCCCTCCGCGACTTCGGTGTTCCGCTTCTCTGCTGTGACCTGTCGCACTTCCGGCGCCGCCTAAGCCTAGGATTCCTGAAACCCACCAACTGTGGGAAATTATCTTTAGCTTCTTCACAGTTTGTGTCTCTACGATCTTTCATTTTTCTTTCTGGAACTCTAATCAGATATTCATTAGAATTCACCTTCCTTTCCTCCGTATCTTTTACCCTTTCTGCTTTCATCTCTTTATTGGTCTGTGCTAAATTCTGAGTAACTTTTTAGTTCACCAATTCTCTCTTTAGTGCCGACTAACTATTTTTAACCTGAAATCTAGGCTCTCTTAAGAACTTATTTATCACATTTGACTTGGATTAAAGTTGTCCTAAGTCAGATTCACAGATTAAACAATGATAATAATGACAACCATCATCACTTGAGAACTTATGTGCCACTCCATGCAGAATATTTTACGGATTATTGCATCTTCAAAATAACTTTTGAGGTAGCTCCTATTCGGCTCATTTAAAAATTTGTATTAGCAGTGGATCAAGCGTGGGCCTGCGAACCAAAGGGTCGCCGGTTCAATTCCCAGTCAGGACACAGGCCTGGGTTGCCGGCCAGGTCCCCAGTAGGGGGCACGAGAGGCAATCACACACTGATATTTCTCTCCCTCTCTTTCTCCCTCCCTTCCCCCTCTCTAAAAATAAATAAAATTAAAATTTGTACTGAGTTGGCCAAAAAGTTCATTTGGTTTTCTCCACAGGATGGCTCTAATTGTGCTCAGTTGTCTTTAACTTCATTTGAAACAATTTTGTTGGGTTTTATTATAACGACTGTCCTATCAGCATACATTAAAAAAAAAAAAACAGAATTTTTGCACAGCCATTTTAATATTGAAGATGGAAGAAAATATGCAACATTTCTGGTGTATTCTGCTTTACTACTTCAAGAAAGGTGAAAATGCAAAAAAAAAGGTTTCTGCAGTGTATAGAAACAGTGCCATGACTGATCAAACCTGTCAAGAGTGGTTTGCAAAGTTTCTTGGCACTATTGCTATTTTGGCCAATTCTTTTGTGGGGCTGTCTCATGCACTGGAAGATGTTTAGCTGCACCCTTGGCCTCCACCCACTAGAAGCCAATAGCAGAAGATTGCTGATAACTCAAAGTATCCAAATCAAGAAAGCTATTGGTGAAAATTAAAAACGTGTGTTGCATTTTATGGAAGAACTAAACGGACGTTTTGGCCAACCAGTAAACTGAGACTCAGGTGACCTATTCAATGTTGTGGAGGCCAAACCCACGTCTGTTAAGGCCAGACCACCCACTCTTGACCTGACAAGACCTTCACTGGAGAACGTTCTCATCCGACATCAGTAATTCCAATTTACGTTCTGTTTTGATACTGCATTTCTAGTACTTGAACTGTAGGTGAACTTGAAGACGCACGTCTTTGTGGCATCCTTGGAGAGCACCGATGGACGGACGGACCGACGGATGGATGTGCGCTGAGCAGAGACCGTGCTGGCCCAAACGAGGTGAGAAAACACTCTCGCAGGAAAACGTTCTTGGGAACGCCTCGCCCGCGTGCACGCCAGAAGTGAACACCCCACCCCCGGTAACGGGGGCCACACCACCACGGACCGCACGCAGGCACCGGCGGACCGCTGCACGGAGACCGCCCCTCCACGGGCGCCCGCGAGCATGTCCGTGACGGGGGCGAGACGGCGACAGGCCCGGAGAGGACGGGAAGGGCTGGCTGGAACCCGCACGCACTGCGAGGGGCAGTGGGCACGGTCCGAGCGCTCTGGACAACAGTCTGCAGCCTCTTGAACAGCCACACAGGCCTCTCCCGGGCGCACGCTCCAGGCAGGCCCCCCAGAGCAACGACAGCGGGCGCTCCCACGGACCCAGACCCGCACGGGGAAGTTCACGGCGGCGCTACTTACAGCGGCCCCACGCTGGACACGCCCCCCTCACCCATCGAGGGCTGGACGCGTGCGCACACCGCCGTGGGCCCAGCCCACCCCAGGCCACGCCGACACGCGAAAGGAGCAGACCGCCGGCACACCACCCAGGGAACCGGGGGTCACGCTGAGCGCAGTAAGCCAGACCAAAGGCAGGGCGCCCGCTGCACGAGCCCCTGCATTCGCGGCCCTCTGGAGTGCAGGCCGACCGGCCGGGAGGGGGAGCGCCGGCCGGCGGTCGCTCTGGGGGAGAAAGGCAAGCGGGAGATTGGCTTTCAGAAGGCAAACCGGGGCTCCGGGCGGCGATGGGTGTTCCTTATCCGATTCCGGTGAAGGCTGCACAGGTGTGTACATATGTCAGGACATGCAAACTGCAAACACGTGTAGTTTACACCACGTAGCTCAACGCGGCCCTTTTTTAAAGGCGAGAAAAGAGGCAGGCCCACACTTGGCAAGAACCCATCTGCGTAAATGAACAAGGCTGCATCTCTGTGTGGTAGCATGTAAACTCGTAATTTTAGGAAAAATGCACCAGGAACACTTCAACATGAGTACCCGCACCTAAGAAACAGGACTGGGAATGAGTGAAATACTTTGCACGCTGAACTTTTTTTACCCAGGCACATTACTTTTATTTTTTTAATTTTATGAAAGCTTAAGTACTTGCACAGAGGCCAGACGCCAAAGCATGAGTTCTAACCACTGTCCCAGAAAATCAGATAAAACATACCTTTACGTATTCATACTTTTATATGAACAATGACCAAAAACATGGTTAGCAATTATTTTTACACCATTGTCTAATATTTTCCCCTCCAACTGCTAATGCAGAAAACCGGTGTACCCGAGGAACCCCGAGGAACCTTCGCGGACACCCACCGGGAGCCTCCTCCCCGCGCTCTGGCTCCTCCCCGCGCTCAGGCACCTCCCCCTCTTGCCCGAGGGCAGCTGGCGGCTCAGGCTCCGGTCACGTGTCCTCACCGGAACCACTCCCAGACGGCGGCAGTCTGCACGGGGACCGCAGAGCCCACCTCGTGCGCTCCCGAGCTATTCCCCCCTTCAAATCTCCTGCTATCCCAACTCAGAGAGTATCACTGCCGACGAACATGCCTTCCCCGCAAGAGGCTTATTACTTTGCCCCCAGCTGCAGAACGGGACCTTCACGAAAAAGCCTACATATTAGAAGCATGGACAAGTATTTCGTTCACTGTAAGGCAGAAGACAGAAAATAAGAAAACGTAAGCACCTCCAAAAGTACCCTGAAGACCCTGACGCTGTTGGAGAAGACTTAAAAGTTCTAGCAGCAGCATCACTGTACTAAGCACACAGACTCGGTGCTCCAAGGGGACGATGTCACTGCAGCCACCAAGTGTCTGAGCCCCGGGAGTCCCGCTTCACCCGCCTGGCCCCAATAGCAGGCAGCGTCCCCTGTCGCCGCCCTGGACTCGAGTGTCCAGCTCCCCGCGGCCTCCCACCTGCGCTGTGCGTGCAGGCCCGGACGGCACACTCGGGCTCAGACCAGGAGTGCTCCCACCCGCGGGACACCCGCGACAGAGCACCGCCTGCGGAGCGCAGTGGGAAAACTGCCGAGGGTCAGGAGCACCGCGTGGGAGAACCCACGCGCGTTGGGAGCAGAGTTCCTGTTCTGGGTGAGGAAAGGGCCCAGCGCCTTCCTCTGCCCACCCCCCTCGGCCTCCAGCAGGACCTCGGATCTGGCTCTTGGCGCACAGCGTCTCTGGTGAAGCTGGGCGGAGGGGGGAACCCAGATGGCCGCACTGCGCCTGTGCAGTACTATTCCCCCCCTGGTGTGTAACCATCGTGCCCGCGTGCTGGGCGCGTCCTTGTTTTTCCCTCACAAATTTGGGCCAAAAAAGGTGTGCATTATCCCCGGCCAATGCCAGGTGATAAAACCCGGTGGGTCGGGCGGGCGCACTGGGCCGGCCACCCGCACACGCGCGTCCCACTGGAGAGTGGGGCCTCGCTGCTTCTGCTCCCATAGGCCGCGCGGGGAGGCACGTTCAGGGCCCGAAGGCTACCGCCAACTCCTGTACGTCACCGCGGCCCGCGGCGCTGCCTGTTCAGGCCACAAACTGCAGGCTCCCACTTCGAAACGAAAACCCTCGACAGCCGGGTTTTGTTAGTTGCATCCGTTTTCAAAAAGTGAGTGGCAATGTCCATTAACCGGGCTGACAAATTCCATAGTCATTGCCTACCTTGACGCCAACCGCGACCTCTGTGACGATTCTGGGAAGAGAAAAGAAAAGCGGGTTCAGCCCCTGGTTCCTCTCGCCCTCCCTGCGCGTCTGTCCCATGGCTGTGGGCTGTCCCGGGGCTGTCGCGGGGCACACCGCCCGCGCTGCCCCGGGCACTGAGCGAGCGAGCGAGCGAGCCACTGAGCAGCCCGCACACTGGGCTCGGGCGGGACGCGCCCGCTCCGGGCCCCGGGGCGCGCCACTCCCCGGGCAGCCGCTCGGAGTGGCGCCCCGCACTTTCGCACGCCCCGCACTTAGTTATCGCGGGATCGGCGCGCCCCCCGCGCGTGCAGCGCCCGGGGTCTCGCGGCGGCGCCCGCGGAGGGGCTGACAAAGGAGCTTTGTCAGGGGCAGCGTCCCTCCGCCCCCACCCGGCCGGGAGGGCGCGCGGCCCGGCGGTTGGCTTCCACGCGCCTGGGGGAGGGGCGGCGGGGCCGGCCGCCCGCGGCCCCGGCCGTCCCGGGGCCGTTTTTGTCTTCCCGGAAACGGGTCAAAGTGGCTCCCGAGCCGGCCCCGCGCTGCGGGCGTGCTCCCGTGTCGCCGAGTCCGCGTGACGGGGCCGCGCGCACACGCCCGGGCCGGCAGGGCTCACTCTGGGCCCCGGACCGGCCCCGCGAGTCCCGGGCCCACCTAACGGCCCTCCGCCGCCGCCCCCGGCCGGACTCCGGCGACAACAAAGGAGGTGACACCGCCGCCCCTCCCCCGCCCCGCGGCCCCACTCGCTTCCGCGGAGCTCCCGCCTCCCGCAGCCCGGGCCGGGCGGTGGGGCCGGGGAGGCCGCGGGAAACGCGGGGACGCGGGCCTCCCCCGGGCCCCGGCTTCCCCCAGCCCCGCGCGGTCCCCGGCCCGGCGCCCGGGTTACCGGCCGAGGTGGCCCGGGGGCCGGGGCCGGCGAGGCGCTCGGCGCCGCCCAGCCCGGCCCCCGGGGCCGCCGCTCCCCGGCCCCCGGCCCGTCCCGCGCGTCCCCCCCGGGCGGCCCGGGCGACAGGGGGTGTGTGCGAGGGGGCGGTGGGGCCCGCCGCCGAGCCCGCCGGCGGCCGCCAGGGTCGTCCCCGGGCCGCACCCGGCCGGACCGCGGGGCGACCCCCTCCCGCCCCCCGGGCCGGCCCGTCACCTACCCGTCCATTGCCGAAGCGGACAAAGCCTCGTCCCGGGGACCGAGCCGCGCACCAGCCAGAACACACGAGCGGCGACAAAATGGCGGCCGGGGCGCGACGGAAATGGCCGAGGGAGCGGGGCGCGCGGGCCGAGCGGCGGAAAGAGCCGAAGCGGCGCGCGGAGGGGAGGGGGCGGGGAGGGCCGGGCGGCTCCCGCGGGCGGGCGGCGCGGGCGGTGCGGCGGCCCCGGAGCCCCGCCCGGCCGGGCCGCGTGCCTGCGGCGCCGCCCCCGCCTGCGGGACCCGGGGGAGCCGGCTTCGTAGCCCTGCTCCTCCCGGGCCGCGGGGTCCTGGCGGACCGTCCCAGTCCCCAGACGGGGGGCCCCTCGGCCCGGGACCCCGGACCCTGCCCGGGGAGAGCCGGGGGACTCAGCACGGCCGCGGGCGTTCCCCGCGGACACGCGCTCTCCGCGCGTGGGGGACGTGGCTCCCGCCTCCCTGGTGGACGGTTAGGGGACACCTGAAGGAAGTGTCCCGAGCGCCTGGTTGGGAGGGAGCGCGGGTGGGCCCTGGGTCCCAGGGCGGGGAGCAAAGATGCTCCAAGGGTGGGACCCGCCGTCGGGGAGGGGGTGCCCACGGGCCTTCGCCTCCGCTTACACCGGAGGGGCCGCTCTAGGGACCAGACGGACCCAGCCCGTTTCTGTCCCACAGTCTCCCCGGTAATGGTAGCAGCATTTGGGACATTTTCCTGTAAAGTATGTTTAGCAGAGGCTCAACCAAGTTTGGACAGGCCGCCACTTTGGAAAACTTGCTCAGTGGGGCCTGCTTGGCCAGTGCCGTTTCCTCTCATCCGCTGTCACCCCGACCTGCGCACACAGCGCGGAAGTGCCCGTCTGATGCTGAGAAATGGGAAACACTCCCTCCATCCATCCCCCCACTTGTTCCCCGCGCGCACTCTGGGTTCTCCTCCCTGGGCTAATTGGAGTTTCACTGCACTGAGCGGTAGTGTCTGTATCATCCATTCAATCATATTACTTTCAGTTGGACAGACCTTAAAGAGCTTCTTGTCCAAATACTTGGTTATAAAACTCTTCAAAGCACTTAAAATTGTAAAATTCCTAATTTGCCTCAGAGACTGCCAAGTCTGCAAAAAAAAAAAAAAAAGCCCATTTCTTACAGTGCCTTCCCTTCTCCTCCAGCAGAGACTCAGGGTACAGAAAGGACCCATGCCCGCCATGTCGGTGCCATTAATAATCACTTTTCCCATGTCCGTGGTTTCGTGCCTGTGCTTTTACTCGACAATTAAATGCGTAAGCCCCCAGAGGGCAGGAACTCAAGCATAATTCCCGGCGTTCCCCACATTGGGCCAGTCGAGTTGTTGGTGATTGGTCGGCTCACGCTTCAGCTGGGCGAAGGCAAACTGTTCGGTGAGGGGTAGGCCTGTCCTTGGGTGGCAGGAGGAATTACAGTACTCACTAAACACATTGCTCTCTGTTTTTTTTCTTTTCTAATAAAGTGCAACACTACAAACAATGGTCAATATGCTCGCTTATTCCACCCCATCACTTTGTAGAAAAAAAGTTGTAAGGTTATATACACAAGTGAAGACACATGAAGTACAAGATGAAATAAAGCGAAATAAGGAATAAAGCAAGCGCAGCCCAGGGTCGGGAGCGAGACTAATGCAGCCACGTGCGCTGCAAAGGGGTGTTCATTCAAGACCCGGCTCGGGTGTGAGCTTTTCCCCTCCGTAGCTGTGTGGCGTCAGGCCCGTCCATGAACTTCTCCGGGAAGGGTTTCCTTTACTAAAGATGAAAGTGGGGTTCAACGTGGGCCTGCATTCTAGACGTGCGTGAGGTCTCACTGCCTGTCTGTGTGCAAAGCATCTCCTCAGGACATAAAGAGCTCCATCATCATCCTTGTTATTTTGATGAGCTATGATCACCCCCTTGAAAAGGAAGTGCTGGCAAATTGGGCGCTCGGATTTTTAACAGCCAACAATATTCACGTAAATAAATCTATATAGAGAGTTTCACAAAGGTTAAACGTGGCACTAAAGTAATTAGATTGGCCGGTATCTACCGGTATAAATCTGAGAAAATGTCATAGATAAGTTTCCAAATCCCCATCCAAATCTACATTGTGTGATTTTTATGAGTTAACTATGGGCTGGATTATTAATCTCGACATTAGCAGATGGCCAACCTTCGTGATATATGACAAGATTATATTAGTGTTTATGGGTTCCTAACAAAATAAGGCAATAAAAACCGAAGAGCCTGCACAGTATTATTTTCACACACGTCTTTTTGAGCATAACGACTTGTTGGTTCCTTTCTGCATGGTAAATGTTTTGACCTTTTACAGAGATTTACACTTAGGCGAGCGGAGATTCATTCCAAAGCTCAGTGTATGGGAAGCCAGAATGAGGCCTGACACTGGTGCAGTGAAACCATGATGTGCCCTAGGCAGCTTACAGCTCTAAAGGCTTTCTTCGTTTAACTTTTCTCGTGCAGTTTCTTCTTATGAAGAAGCAGGGAATGACAATGAGATCGATTAGGTAGTTTTTTGATACGTATTTTGAATAGGTAATTTAAATTCAAAACAGAGAAATCCAACAGGCATAAAAGTTTATGCAAAATGCTGGGAGAGGGCAAATGGAGACGACAGTAGACTCAGTGGCTGCCTAGACCTGGGAGTGGGGGTGGGAAATGACAGCGAGTGGACACGAAGCTTCTGGGGTGATGGGAACGTCCCCAGACTAGCGGGTGATGATGGATGTACAGGGCACTGAAGCTCATTGAACTATACACTTAATACCGGTGAAATTCGGAGTATGTAAATCGTGTAGCAACGAAGCTGATACAAAAAGGAAAAGCATGTACACTCCCCTCCTGCTCCCCCACTCCCAAGTCCAGTCAGTTTTGAGGATATCCTTGTGTGAACTGAGCACATGTTTATTCTAACGTAGGAATTGCAGCTCATCCTGTCCTGCAGCTCATTTCCTAGCTTACAAGTACAGCAGAGAGGGCTTTTCTCGTCAGCGCGTTGGGAGGTGCCGCCTCCTCTGCGGGGCTGCTTACTGTCACCCCACACGTCAGCCACGACCGACCTAACTAGCGTTCCGTGATGCGCGTCTCGGTGCCTCCCGTCTTGCTGCTCACAAACAGTTCTGCAGCGAATACCCTTGTTTCTGAGTCACTTCCCACCGGTGTGGACCTGCCTGCCGGTTAAACACTGCAAGTGAAAGTCCTGGGTGCGCCTTCTTAGTCTTAAACATGCTCTCAAATCACCGCCCAGCTCCTTGAGTCCTCGTGGGGAAATATTTGCATTCCTACCCTTTCAAAAAGAGCCGCGTTCTTTAATACATAAGGAATCCCTACAAACAAAAGTGTCCAAGGCCAACAATCAAATAAAAAAGTGGGTAAAGCGTGTGAACAAAATGTGAACACACATTACAGAAAAGTAAACAACCACAACAACAACCGAGAAAACCTCAGCCTCACAGTCAGACACAGGAGGCGAACTGCACTAAGGCCTCTTGTCCCCCCCCGCACCCCGTCAGTGCCCACCTGCCCAGCCCCCAGGCAGACGCGGCACCAACTTCCTGAGCGTGGAGAGAAAGGGATTCTCTTCCCAACTATGGATAATGTGCAAACAGAATCAAGGCACTTTCAGGTACCCTGAACATCGAACATTTCGTTTCCTTATGCAGTTTTCTTTGAAATCCCCTGGAAGATGCGTTTCTACAATGGGGGGGCTACACCTCAGTGAAAAAGAACATGTGGGGCCCAGGACACCTGAGAGCCAACACACGGGACAGGAGAAGTAAGTTAGATGCTGCAGAAGGAGGCCGAGGCCAACGGCTGTGTACTTCCACTCCTGTGCACCTGTACAGCTCTGCACCTGTGCACTTGCAGAGAGCTATGCTCCTGTACAGCTCTGCATTTAGGCACCTGTGCATTTGCGGAGAGCTATGCACCTGTACAGCTCTGCACCTGTGCACTTGCAGAGAGCTACACACCTGTACAGCCCTGCACCTGTGCACTTGCAGAGAGCTGTGCACCTGTACAGCCCTGCCCCTGTGCACTTGCAGAGAGCTGTGTACCTGTGCAGCCCTGCCCCTGTGCACTTGCAGAGAGCTACACACCTGTACAGCCCTGCACCTGTGCACTTGCAGAGAGCTACACACCTGTACAGCCCTGCACCTGTGCACTTGCAGAGAGCAACACACCTGTGCAGCCCTGCACTCAGGCACCGGTGCACCTCTGTAGCCATGCAGCCATGTAGCAGTCCTTCAGGTCCAATCCGGCATGAGATCAGATAGCCCCAGGAAAGATGTCTCCAAGAAAACCAAATGGACCTCAAACATTTAAAATGCCCATACACCTTGAGCAGATTTTTTTTAGTGCTGTTGAATGCTTAGGGAAAAAATTAAAGGCCTATGGGAAAAATTTTTACATTAACTCCAAGATAAATATTGTAAAATATTATAAAAACTTGCACAGAAATATCACAGTGCACTTTTATGGCTTGATTGTAAAACTAGTTATCTCATTATAATAATATTAATAAAATGAAGATTGCCAAACAGTTTCATGGGAGCATGAAAGAGGGGTGTGTGTGTGTGGGGTGTGTGTGTGTGTGTGTGTGTGTGTGTGTGTTCGGCATAGAGATTCCCATGTTCCACAGCAGGCAGGCAGTAGACAATGTCTGGGACCGACAGGTGCGATCACGGCAGGTGAGCGTGCAGGTAAACCCCAGGGGACCGGGGAGCAGGCTCGAAGCGCTCGTTCCTGGGTGTGGCGCTGGAGGCGAAGGAAAGGGGGAGCAGAAAAGGGTGCCTGGGGCCTGTGTTTACTGTGTGAGAACCCTCCCACGACTATTTACTTTCTAGGCTGCGTGCATGTGTTACTTTGATAAAAATACATTTTACATTTTAAAAAGAAAGGATTAGATGGCAGCGAGCAAAAGGCTGCCCTAGCAACCAGCACGGCCTCCTTTGTATTCAGCAGGAGCAACTGCTTATCTGCATGTTTCCTGCGAGAGCTCCGCACAGCCGGCCGGCCGGCCTCTGCTCTGCGTGCACACAGCAGAGATTATTCTTGGGAGAGAACACAACAGTTCCAGTG